CAGGCGGCAGGCCAACCCGTTTATATCCGCAGCATTCGGCGGCAGCCTCGAGTAGGCTTCTCTTAAATAAGAATAGTAGGAATAAAATTAGTAGGAATCTAATCCTCACAGTGAAATTGTCAAACACAAGAGAACTTTGAAATGGACAATTTCGACAAATATCTTATTCCGCTTGGACAGAGTTTCGGGTTGTGGTAAATAAAGTGAGAGTGAGGGATCAAGTTAAATAATTAATACCAGTAGTTAAATGACCAGATGCCTGTTACGTAAGTCGTTACTTCTTACTAAACGCAATTTAATCATAAAATGCTATAGAAATCTTCGTGCTTGTCAATAATATCGCGCTGTACTCAGAGAGAGCGTCTCATTGATGGGTAACGCGAGGTTTTAAATCAAGTAGTTAGTACAGATAGCCATCTGGAAATGATTCATGCTCTTCATTACAGTCTGCATGCTGAGTTAATGACCTCGCATAAATACCAAAAAGCAGATGCAGTCAGAACACAGATTCACAGTCGCAGCAACAAGCGTACGCAGAAACGAGCGGTCTCAGCCAAACAGAGTACTCAGTCATATTACCCCCCCCCCTTCACACATACACCCTCCACGAAGTTACGAACTCTCTGGTTTCCATTGAGTACACTAGTTCCTGTGTTATTTTTCACTGATTCGCAACTAGACAATTAAGGCGAACTTTTCAAGAAGACGAAGCGGCACTGAGTTACGACAGATACTTTAAGACTCTGGAGTAGTCAAGAAGGAAACTCAGCAACGCAGGCGCATGACTCGGACGAGGCAAAATAACGAGAGCCTCGCCTTCTCCTCAGAGCTGTCAGTAGGAGCTGTGACAAGGACAAAAAACGATCACTGGACCTCGTAGCGCGGAAGTTGGAAAGATCTGCAGGGTGCCTAGAGCTGCTATACAGCCTGGTGAGTATCGTCACGAAGCATGGTAAACAACCCCATACCACAGTTCAAGGAGCCACTGCAAGGCCGTGACGGCCACTGGAAACGATCAGCCGAGCATTTTGCAGAGGTGCTGAATCGGCGTGAGCCTGAGGTAGACCATGTGGTGGAAGAGGGAGTAAATAAGACCTGGAGATAAACTATGCCCAACCATTAATGGACGAAATTCGGCAAGCAATGAGTCGCTGTCGCAGCTTCAAAAGCCCTGTCGACATGACAGAAATACTGCTGAGATCATGAATTGCCGCGGCGAAAACCGTATTAGCTGGATGACCTGGTTTTCTGTAGCGTTTGGAAGAAATCGGTGACCCCCGAAGACTGGAAAATAAGCGTCATCATTCCGAGTTTCAAATCTCGGAGTGCATAAATTATCGACAGATTACCCATCTGCCTATGCTGAAGGAGGTGATTGTGCAGATTATCCTTGAAAAGTTTAAAGATGCCATAAATGATTCGATGGAATAGGCTTCCG